AGACACACTGACAGATGAGAGCCCCGGCTACTTAGCACTTATTCCTACCTGCAGCTTCCAAACCAGCTCTGTTTCAGGCCAAGTTCATAGGGGCTGGGGCTGCCATGGTAGGGGTGGCTGGCCCTGGGGCTAGAATTTGGAATGTTTGGCAGCCTCATCATTGATTATGCCAGGAACCCTTCTCTGAAGCAACATCTCTTCTACACCATCTTGGGCTTTGCCCTCTCACAGGCCATGGGACTCCTTTGCCTAGCGGTTGCCTTTTTCATTCTTTGCCATCTCCACTTAACCACAGTTCTCTCTCTCATGTCTTGTCTGCCCTGTACCTTTTCATGTACTTCCCCAGGCAGCCTGGGGAAAGTGGTTGACTCACGGTTTGATAGGGAAGACAAATAAATATTGTATTAATAAGATGTTATTAAAAAAAAATTAGAGCACGACAGTGAAAAATGCAGAACTACTTGTCCATGAGAACTAGTATTTACACTCCCTTAGTAAAATACTCTCAAGTGCATACTCTCAGTTTGTCCCGACCCGCAGGATTCGGAGGCACGAAAAGAGAAGGGCTGAGGATTGAAATGAGGGGCTTGACAAATTGACGCTAGCGTTTGCTTCTTTATTTTTCCTTTTTCCTTTTCCTACTTTTACATGTTTTTTCCTTTCCCTGTCCTACTACCTTCCCTGGCCTTCTCTACGCTCCTCTCTCAGTACGTTTCTCAGTATCCTCTCTCAAAGTCTCTACACAGTATCCTTTCCACAGTCTCCTTCTCAAGGTCTCCTCGCCTCATCCTCTATGCAGTCTCTCTCCTTCTCCTCTACGCAGTCTCTCTCCTTATCCTCCACGCAGTCTCTCTCCTTCTCCTCCACGCAGTCTCTCTCCTTCTCCTCCACGCAGTCTCTCTCCTTCTCCTCCACGCAGTCTCTCTCCTTCTCCTCCACGCAGTCTCTCTCCCTATCCTCCACGCAGTCTCTCCAGTCTCTCCCGTGGTTCCCTTCTTATCCCCCCCGCTCCTCCCCTCATACCTCTCAGTCCCACGTGATTTTCCGGAAAACACAGTGGTTTCTCCGAAGGCAAAACAGAAACCGAAACTTAACTTGCGAGCATGCGCAACACGGCGCATGCTCCATGTGGCTCCGGACATTTGCGAGCATGCGCAACATGGCGCATGCTCCATGCGGCTCCGGACATCTCCCCCTTTTTTCTTTTGAATGAGATACCTGGCCTGTCTTAGGTTGGCATATCCTGTAACCAGCCTTACCCGTCTTTGCTAATCCGGCGCACTTGGTCTGGACCGCTGTCTTAGGTTGGTCTGGACGGGCTACGCTCTTACCCGTCTTTGGCTCACAGGTTCTCTAGGGCTAAGTTGACCCATCAGGATGCCACTGGGGAGTCCTGGTCAAGTACCATGGCGCCAAGTACTTGCCTGACCACAATAGCCGTTTTTTGTTTCGCTTCCGTAGCCGACGGAGAAACCATATGCCGAATGCACAAACAGCAACTCTGGGAGGAGTCCTCTAAACCAGGCAATGAGACCCTTACTCGAAACAGGGTAACCCGAGTGTTGTTAACAGTTATGAGCTATCTCGCCAATTGAGAGGTCAGGTTCAGGAGCTGGTGGTTCTAAGGTCCTCTGATTACACTATTTAACCTATTTTCTTCCATAAACATATTTTTCACCATAATAGGAATTACACAAATAAAACTGTACAAAAAGTTACAATGCATGTGAGTGGTTAACAAAAGTGTGTCTATCTCTTCTTACATGAGCTAACTGCTGACTAAGCATAAAAAGTCCATTCTGCAAATGTCCATTCATATATTACTGTGTTGACAACGCAAAAGCAACACCGGCAGCTAAATTGTCCATAGTGTCCATATTTACAGCAGCTTAAGTGACAGCAACGGCGGCAGCAGCCGCAGCCGCGGCCTCTGCTATTGAAACGGCAACAATAGCTGCAGTGATGCTAAAATCACATCTCCTCCTAGGTAGAACAGGGGAAAGGTGTGCAGAAACATCCACGGGCATGACTAAAATAGAAGGTAGACAATGATCATCGCTCTCTCCGCACTCCGGGCCCAGGAGGCAGAGGGGGGCAAGTCTCCGCTGAACTGCTCAACCCAGTGGCATCTCCTGCATTATTGGGGAGGACAAAAAAGAAAGGAGGGGACAGACAGACAGCAGCAGACAAACTCTATAATCTATTGTTCTGAATACTAACAAATTATTCAATGGTAGAACTAATGTTTACAGAATAAATGCTATTAACTAATTTCACCTCACCCTGGCCCAACGGGGCACTATCCAATGGCTTGGAAGCCAGACCAATACTAAGATTAGTGGCAAATACTTGCGGAAAAGTGGACTCATGATGATCAATGAGGAGCAAAAACGGCAGCTGATGCACAATCGCCCATCGTACTAACATCTGGGACGCTTGTGTCATCAATGTTAGCAGGGTCAGGTATATTGACAAACCGAACCAATCGAGCAGGAACCCATCGGGGTGCTTCTGCATCCTGTGGGAAAAGACAAATGCTGCCTGGAAGCTGTATTAATACTGGCACGGGTGGTTGCCACTCATTATTAACTGGGTCCTTCCATCTCGCTTGCAGCATCGTGACCTGCCGAGGGTCTGGCAACCAGTGCCGATCAGCAACTGACTGCCCCTGAGTATCTAGGGTCAAAAAATTAAGGGTAAAGAGAGCTGTAGTCAAACGGTCCCTGGGGGAGTGTTCTCAGAGGTGGCGCAGGAGGTGGCTCCCCAGGTGTTTTCCATCTCCTTTTACGCTTCCTTGGCTTATAACAACTGAGGCCTTTCTCATCCTGTTCCTCGTCTCCTCCCGACTCATCAGTAGAATCATCTGGAGAAGGGGCTGTTGTTATTTTTTGAGTAGAGGAAGGGGGACTTACCGATGTAGAACTCTTAATGGAACTTCTATCTTCTTCCTCCGTTTGTCTCGCTGTCCTGACGGCCTCAGTGGCTAACTGAGTGGCAGCAGTGCCACCGGCATTAAGAGCATCTCCCAGCACTCTCCAGACCGTCAAAGTAGTGCCAGGAAGAGACTCAAGGCCATATAATTGCTGATGCAAGACAATATCTCCTTTCACCTTATTCCAATTAAATTGACCTGATCCTGCTTCAGAAACCATTTACTAGTAATACTAAGGGTCTCTACAAATCCTTTAAGAATTTTTCTACTGAGAGGAACCCCAAACTCTTTTAGGAGAGCTTCCAGGGAAATAACTAACTGCCCCTTGGACATTGAATTGCCCATGCTCCCAGCTACCTTACCTTACTTTACTTTACTTGCCGGCTCACCACAGCTGGTCCTTCAGCGGTTCCTTCATTCTTTTTCATGCCCCACGTTGGGCGCCACCTGTCCCGACCCGCGGGATTCAGCGGCACGAAAAGAGAAGGTCTGAGGATTGAAATGAGGGGCTTGACAAATTGACGCTAGCGTTTGCTTCTTTATTTTTCCTTTTTCCTTTTCCTACTTTTACATGATTTTTCCTTTCCCTGTCCTACTACCTTCCCTGGCCTTTTCTATGCTCCTCTCTCAGTACGTTTCTCAGTCTCCTCTCTCAGAGTCTCTACACAGTATCCTTTCCACAGTCTCCCTCTCGAGGTCTCCTCGCCTCATCCTCTACGCAGTCTCTCTCCCTAACCTCTACGCAGTCTCTCTCCTTCTCCTCCACGCAGTCTTTCTCCCTATCCTCCACGCAGTCTCTCCAGTCTCTCCCGTGGTTCCCTTCTTATCCCCCCTTGCTCCTCCCCTCGTACCTCTCAGTCCCACGTGATTTTCCGGAAAACACAGTGGTTTCTCCGAAGGCAAAACAGAAACCGAAACTTAACTTGCGAGCATGCGCAACACGGCGCATGCTCCATGCGGCTCCGGACATAAGTTAATCCTGAGGGAAGGATTATTGTTATTTCTGCTTAACCATGAGAATCAGCTGTTAAATAATGCACACAAGATTGTACTGCCATTAACTAGGTAGAATGTACATTCAGGTTGTAGTATCAACCATCATTTCCATTTATGGAGCCTTTCTTTCTGTAAGCTGGAGTTTCTCAGCTACAGTACTATTAACATTTGGGGGTCAAGTAGTTCTTTGTTACAGAGGGCCGCCCTCTGCATCTTAACATGTTTATCAGGATCCCTGTTCTCTACTGAGAGTGAGTAGCACTTCCCTAGAAACCTCTACTGGACTTAGCTAAATGTCCCTTGGGAGACTTAGAATTCTGTTTTACAAAGTTTCTTAACAGCAGGAGCCTTAACAGCAGGAGCCTTGACAATGTCTTTCACTATGAACTACTGGAGCCTCTTTGAAATTCCTGGGTCATAAAAAATTAGAGTAGACATTCTAAATATCTGTTGAATGAATGAGGTGGATGCTATTATTAACCCCACTGTACAGAGGAGGAAAGTACGGCAGCAAAAATTAAAGAACTTTTTCATGGTCTCATAGTTATTAAATGATGGAATTGGGAGTGGAATTTAGCTGTGTCTGCCTCCCTGGTGCTGAACTACTCCATAATATCACATGCTGATTTTTATACCAGTCAACCAGCTCTTAGATATGTTGTGGCAAGCCAGGTTCGCATAATACTGAAAGACAGGGAAGATTGGTAAAGTAGTAGAAAAGTTGGAATATTCATGGAACCATAGACTAGCTAGACAAAGACATTTTAAGTAGAATGGGTATAATGTTAGCATGATTCCCAGGAATTGTGCTTTGTTTGCCCATCTGCTTAGAGATAACTGCTAAGATTTATCTGTGGTTCTGGTTGGAATTCTGCCACAGGTTCCATCTGAGGATAGTACGGAGAAAGTGAAAGTATACCTGAGAGTCAGACCTTTCTTACCTTCAGAATTGGAACAGCAGGAGAATCAGGTAAGCATCTGAGGGGAGAGAATTCAAGGTGAAAAGATGCAGTGCAGAAAATGTTCCCACAAATGTTCACTTCTGTAAAAATTGCGTCGTTCCCATTCTCAGGGTTGTGTCCATATTGAGAATGTGGAGACTCTTATTCTACGGGCACCTAAAGACTCCTTTGCCCAGAGGAGCAATGAGCGGGGAATTGGACAAGCCACGCACAGATTCACCTTTTCCCAGGTATTGAGGTGCTGAGCTATGGAAAAGGGGCAAATTATAGTGGCAACTTACTCCCTCTTTAGAAGGAAGCGTTTTTTTTTTTAATTTATGCATAGAAGAACTGGGGGTGTAGGCCAGAGGTTTAGGGGAGGGGAGTGAAAGGATTCACCAGAGACAGAGTGGGAACCGAACAGGTCAATTTACTGAAATACTCTGCTGGGGGGAGCAGCGGGCGAGACAGGAGAGGTCTGCTGCACTATGTGTGTCAGCTCCCTGGCCGGGGATCAAACTCATGCTGCAGTGGCTGCCGACAGCTTCCAAGTGCTGAGACTTAACCCCTTGTGCCACCAGGGAGGGCCCTAGAAGGAAGCTTTTTTTACTGAGTCCCTTAAGATGCGTGTCTACAATTTTGAGGACCCTTTTCATGTGCTAAACAGTGTCAAGTATTTCATGTACATTAATTCCTAACAGTTGTATTACCATTATTGTTATTGTCCCTATTGTCCTGACAAAGATACTGTGGTTCAGTAAAAATAACGTTGCTGAAGCAATGTAAGTTATCAGTAGTAGAGTTAGGATTTGTTTGAACCATCCATCTCTAAAACCCATTTTTGAGACCATTAAGTTGTCCCATAGTGTATGCAGCATAAGACTTAGTAGATAACATCCCCTATTTACTGATTTAGATAAAAGAGCGGGCAGGGTGGTTGAGTCCTTAGTATTTTGGGAGCAACTGGTACAACAGTGGGAAGTAGTGGCTTAACTCATCTCCAGAGCCAACCATCCAGGAAGGGATGCATCTGCTGGCTCTGCACAGATATGGAGTGGAAGAAAAAAGATGGGACTCTCAGAAATTTTATCTGTGTCTAGATATTTGGACCAGAAGTGGGACAGGCATCCTTCTTCAACCTGACCGTAAAAGAGATGGTGAAGGAGGTACTCAAAGGGCAGAACTGGCTCATCTGTACATATGGAGTCACCAATTCAGGGAAAACCCACACAATTCAAGGTAAGTAGTAAATCTCACAAAATTGCTGATTGGCCTATAATGTGTGATCTATTATCTTCTGATGCTGCCAGTTAGGGGAGAAAGAGCTTTGCCTCAATTGTCTTTCACATGTCTCCAGGTACCATCAAGGATGGAGGGATCCTGCCAAGGTCTTTGGCTCTGATTTTCAATAGCCTCCAAGGCCAGCTTCATCCAACACCTGATCTGAAGCCCTTGCTCTTCAATGAGGTAATCTGGCTAGACAGTAAACAAATCCGGCAGGAAGAAATGAAGAAATTAGCCCTGCTAAATGGAGGCCTCCAAGAGGTAAAGTTGCTTTCCTTGGGGGTGAGGGTAGAGGGGCAAATCTCCACAAAGTTTTGTGCTTATCATCTCCCGTGGTCCCTCCAGGAGGACCTGTCCACGTCCTTGAAGAAGAGCGTTTACATTGAAAGTTGGCCGGGTACTAGCACCAGTTTTGACAGTGGTATTGCGGGGCTCTCCTCCACCAGTCATTTTACCAACAGTAATCAGTTGGATGGTATGTATCATGACTGGGCTTTGTCCTAGGTAAATTCCTGCCCCTTCCTCTAAAAGCTGCCAGGATTACAATCTGACCTCCACTTTTTGAGGCCTCCATGGACCAAGGGGGAGATGGAGTACCCTAAGGTTGATACCCTGTACCTTGGCTTCTTCCCCAGAAACAAGTCACCGATGGGCACAGCCAGATACTGCTCCCATAAGTGTCCCTACAGATATTTGCTTCTCCATCTGGATTTCTTTCTTTGAGATCTACAATGAACTACTTTATGACCTGTTAGAACCGCCTAGCCAGCAACGGAAGAGGCAGACTCTTCGACTATGTGAGGACCAGAATGGCAATCCCTATGTGAAAGATATGGAGCAGCACAAGGAGGCTGCCTTGAACCCTGGAGGGAACTTGGAAAGAGACAAGGTGTTCCTATCTTATGCATGCCCCTCTCTCCTTGGCCTCAGATCTCAATTGGATTCATGTTCAGGATGCTGAGGAGGCCTGGAAACTCCTGAAAGTGGGCAATAAAAACCAGAGCTTTGCCAGCACCCACCTGAACCAGAACTCTAGCCGCAGGTGAATGGGTTGCAAGAGTAAACCTTTCTTGCTGTGTTCCTGAAAAATAATAGTCTCCCACCTGGTCATGTAAGCTGTGCACTGACATTTCTTTTTCTTAACTATCAGTCATAGCATCTTCTCAATCCGGATCCTACATCTTCAGGGGGAAGGGGATCTAGTCCCCAAGATCAGCGAGTAAGTTTTTCCATTTAGAGATCTGGGCTTCTTGGCCATAAAGGGTACTGGGAGGGAGAGGGAGGTCCTCAGAAGAATTATCTGTTATGTTAGATTCTTGTTGCCCTTCCTTGGTTAGAGATTCTTGGTGGGTTCTCTCCTGCCCAGAACTATATATGAAGAACTGGAAGGCTCCGAACATACAATCCTCATGTCAGATTCTGCCTGGCATCTTTCTAGGTTGTCACTCTGTGATCTGGCTGGTTCAGAGTGCTGCAAAGATCAAAAGAGTGGTGAGCAGCTGAAGGAAGCAGGAAACATTAACACTTCTCTGCACACTCTGGGCCGCTGTATTGCTGCCCTGCGCCAAAACCAGCAGAACCGGTAAACTTTTGACTACAAGCTGTGGTCCAGTGGTCTGCAGTTTGCAGACCTCTGCAATTTGCTGAAGCATCTTGGTCACCACTAGGATATACCCAAGGCTGGAGTTCTTTTCACAGATCTTTTCTCTCTGGTTCCTTGCCAGGTCAAAGCAGAACCTGATTCCCTTTCGCGACAGCAAGTTGATTCGAGTTTTCCAAGGCTTCTTCACAGGTCGAGGTTGCTCCTGCATGATTGTCAATGTGCATCCCTGTGCATCTGCCTATGATGAGACCCTTCATGTGGCCAAGTTCTCAGCTCTTGCCAGCCAGGTAAGAAGTTGTAGGTGGATGATTTGCTTGCTTTGAGCTGGTACTTTTATTTAAAGAAGTTATTAGGTACTAGTTATGAATTCAAATTTTTCCCCCACTAGCTTGTGCATGCTCCACCAGTTCAACTGGGATTCCCATCATTGCACTCATTCATCAAAGAACACAGCTTGAGGGCATCTCCCAGCTTAGAGACAAGCGCTAAGTTAAACCCGGGGCTTGATGAGAACATTGAAAATGAAGTTGACATCTCTATGTATGGCAAGGAGGTAAGAATGCAAGAGCTTGGGTGCATCAGCTTGATGGCTCACATTTTTCATTCTGCATTCCAGAAGGATCTGTGCCTATTTGGGGCATGGGCATCTGATGCCTCTGATTCATGTGTCCCAACTAGGCGCTCCTACAGGTGGTGGATGCCATGAAAACACTGCTTTTGAAAGAACGGCAGGAAAAGTTACAGTTGGAGATGCAGCTCCGTGATGAAATTTGCAATGAGATCATGGAATAGATGTGACAACGAGAACAGTGGTGCAGGTACCAGCCAAGTGACCTCTCTTGGTCTGTCATCTGGATCAACAGATGGGAAGTAGGGACTAGGGTGGAGTTGGACCTCAAGAACTATCTATCCTCCAAAGTCACTCCTTATAATCTTTTTTTTCTCTTTTCTACTTTCTGACAGTGAACATTTGGACACCCAAAAGGAACTATTAGAAGAAAAGTATGAAGAGAAATTAAAGATCCTCAAGGAGTCACTGACAAGTTTTTACCAAGAAGAGCTGCAGGTGAGTTGCCCTGAACCAACCCCACCTACCTGCTTAGACCCCCATCTGAGGTAAATAGATTTTACCTGAAGTAAATAGATTTTATAAACTAGTAGCGCCAGGAATATATAACTCACTTTTCTCTGATCTCCTTAGTGTACATGTGTCATCTATGTTTAGTGAATTAAGGGTTTGGTTAGCTAGGAAATGGTAAAAGTGCTAACAAACAGGCTTTTAAGGCATGAGTATAAGGGAAGGCTTTGTTCATTTGTTCAATTATTACTGCAGTATGTGTTGGACTGTGGACGGAATTGTGCTTTCTACTTCCCTCTTAGGAGCAGGATGAAAAGATTGAAGAGCTAGAAGCTGTCTTGCAGGAAGACAAACAGCAGCCAATGACCCATCAACAATCAGAGTCCGAATTGACCCTACGACGGTCACAGAGATTGATGGCTTCTTCCTCCAGCCAGCAGCTTCAGGAAGTTAAAGCTAAACTGGATCAGTGCAGAGCAGAGCTAAACTCTACCAAGGAAAGTATGGAAGGAGAGAAGGCAGGGACCATAACAACGGTTCAGGGAACAGCTGCTCTTCAAACACTAGCTCCAACATAATTTCCTTAACTGAGGGCTACATCCTCAACTTTTCACTCTAGGATACATGTGGCCTCACTTTTAATATTTGCTCAAGCTACTATTACCTAAAGAGGCAAGTCCAAGGCTAGAACACCTACATATTAAAGTTCTCTTTTTTTCCCTCAGAGCTGCAGAAGTATCAGAAAATGTTAGAACCACCACCCTCAGCCAAGCCCTTCACCATTGATGTGGACAAGAAGTTAGAGGAGAGCCAGAAGGTAAGTCCCTTTCTGTTACCAAAGCTCTTACCTCAGGCATTTCCCAACACTCAATCCTGGTTCATATGAGGACAAGATGTTATTTTGTTCACATTCCTGGAAAGCGGCTACTTCAATCAGCTATCTAGTCTTGTAATTGTCTTCTCTTCAAATGGTCATCTGACTCCTCCAAATCATTATCCTAGTTTCTTGGCCATAGTCTGGTTCCTACCCCTCCTTTTTCAGAATATAAGGCTGTTGAGGACAGAGCTTCAGAAACTTGGTGAGTCTCTTCAGTCAGCAGAAAGAGCCTGTTGCCACAGCACTGGAGCAGGAAAACTTCACCAAGCTCTGACCACCTGTGATGACATCTTAATCAAGCAGGTTAGGGCAGCCTTTTATCCCCTTCTCTCTCATCTGTCCACTCCAGAGTATATGTGAGGAGAATGAGAAGCAGATTTTTAGGATGATCACACAGTGAGGGGAGTTTTTCTTCCTATAAAATTAACCATTCATTAAGCACAAGGTATTGTGCTAGTCTATAGGCATTTTTTATTACAACAATCCTAGAGAGGTGGATTATATCACATTTCATCTAAAATGCTTGTACTATAGGAAACCGATATTGTATGTATCACTAAAACAAAATACAACTAAGCTATAACATTTGTCATCACTAACATGCTTCCTGATTAGAGATGATAAAAAAATTTTAATGTACATCTTAGACTAGACACAGCATTTGATACCTAGGAACTAAGGCTCTTGAAAGTTAAGTAAACTTATTCAAGCTCATACCATTCACCTTCAGTGTTAGAAAATATCCTCCTAATGAGTGCCTTTTCTTTAGATTCTTAAAGAAAATAGCCCCTATTCATATAAGTTCTGATTTAAAAAAAAATAACCTTTGTAGACACAGTTGTTAGTAGCCAGTAGTTAAGGACATATGTATTACCTTCTCCTCTTGTTTCTTTAATGCACCAGACACAGATTATTTTCTAAAAATTTGCCTATCTTATTAGGATCAGACCCTGGCTGAGCTGCAGAATAACATGATGCTAGTAAAACTGGACTTTCGGAAGAAGGCAGCCTGCATTGCAGAGCAGTATACCATGCCAAAACTCCAAGGCCAGGCTTCTTCTACCAAAAAGCACCTTGGAGCCAACCAGGAAAATCAGCAACTAAGCCAGCAGCCCCCCGGGAAGAAACCATTTCTTCGAAACTTACTTCCTCGAACACCCACCTGCCAACGCTCAACCAACTGCAGTCCTTATGCCCGGATCCTGCACTCACGATGCTCCCCTTTACTAAAATCTGGGCCTTTTGGCAAAAAGTACTAAGACTGTGGGCTAGGAGAGTACTCGTTGTTCTTGAGGTGGGAAAGCTGCTCAGCTTAAATAGGTCTCTTTCAAGCTAAAATGGATACATATTTTGCTATGGTTGTTTACTGAAACTCATAAACCTCAGTTCCTTTTAAACTTGTAGATTTCATTTAGGTGTGAAAATGTTAGGTATTTTTTACACAAAGACTAAAATTATTTTGGGTATAGTAAAAATGCCTTTGGAATGCTTTTCTTTAAATATTAATATACTGTTTCAATTTGGCATTTATTAAATTGTTCTTATGATGTTACTCAGACACAGTTGTTTACAAGTCAATTTACTTCAGAATGGCAATACTCAACCTAGGTTTTTTTTTTTTTAATGTATGTATCTTTATGTCAAGAAAATGATTAAACAAATGTTTTCTTCCATTTAACTGAGCTTCTGATAAGCTAAATCAAATCACAAAGTCTTATCAAAGTTCAAATGGTCATTAGCACATTTGCCTTAAGGTAGAGAAGAACATGCCTCTGTTTGTTGAAAAAAACATTCCAATATAAAGTATGGGGGCCAGGAGGGGAGGGATTGGGGTCAGAATGGGGCACGTGCAGTTGTATGGGGGAATATAAAAATAAAATTTATTATTTAAAAAAAAATAAAGTATGCTAATTTGTAGCCTAGTTGATATAAAGAATCTGTTGTAACACTCCAATATTGCATGTTACAACCTAATAAACAAAGAACTCAACAAGACCACGGATCCCTTTTTGGTGATGGTGGTCAAAGATCTAGAGTCAAGATGTCAAGAAGTTTCTTTCTTATTGAATAGACTAAACATTATAAATTTTCCCACACAGTCTAATTTTTTTTTTTGGTTTGTTTGTTTTTTTTTTTTTGCAACCAGGTCCCTGAATAAATTTTCACCCTGTAACAATTTGTAGTAACACTGCTTTCAGATCTATTAAGTCTAAAACTTCTAACCTGCTAGCAACAGGACATAATCTATACAAAAAAAGATTTAGATTTCTAAGAATAAAGCATTTACATTAAATCATGATCTTAAAACTGATGGCAAGTAGAGAAGTTTATATGTCACTTGAAAATTAGTACAAACATATATTAGAGGACTTTCCACATAAAAGAATGGATTTTGGCTCTCAGATGTCAATAGGATATAATAGAAATTGTTAGCAATATTTAAGAGAACATACATAAAACCAACAGTTTGGGCAATGAATTCAGTAGGGTTAGACAATTTCAGGAATTATTGGGACTATAGAATGGCTACATTCAGTTTAGAAAATCCAGTGGAAATCTGATCTCATGCCCATCTCTTTATTAGCATACATGGCTATGTACTAAAATAATTCATCTATCATTTACTGATGTCTTGAGTCCAAATTAGGTTGCATTTTTCTTTCTCCCCCTGGAATTCTAAATTGCTTCTGTTGGACTAGCAGAGAGGGGACACCAACGTGGTTTGGAAATGATTTAGTCATTCCATTAGTGCTTCTTGACATGCAGCTATTCCTAATCACTTGCATTCTTTTTAAACTTTATAAGCATTCATATTACTAGCATGCAAATTATTATACACAATTGAAAATGTGACAGAAATCACAACCATATATTGAATTATTCATAAATCCCTACTGAAATGATACTTTTTCAGTTTCCCTTCACTTTTGCAATCTTCCCCTTAATCCATTGGTTAAAATTGAGTTGCCCTTGCTCAACTGAAGTAGGCATACTGATGACATGATTATATGCAACAGAACCATATAGGTTGAGTCCCTCTTCCTTAAACTCCAGTATACTGTGATGGAAAATGGGTGGGTTCCTCTCAGAAACAAGGAGCTCTCAGTTGCACCACTGAGTATTATTTTTTTCTCAGATTAGTTAAGGTCAAGATTATTGAAAGATGGAATCAAGGGGGCCTCCCCGGTGGTGCAGGTGGTTAAGCAAAGTGCTGTGAAGCTGTCCGCAGCCTTTGCAGCGCCAGTTTGATCCCAGCCAGCAGGCGAGGATCCCACATAGCGCAGCAGACTTCTCCTGCCTTGCCCGCTGCTCCCCTCAGCAGTGTATTTCTTCGTGAGTCTGCCTGTTCTGTTCCCCGCTCTGGCTCTGGTGAATCCTCTCACCCACCCATGCATCTGGACTGTACCCCCGTTCTTGTATAGATAAATAAATCTTAAAAAAAAAAAGATGGAATCAAGAGACGCAAAAGGAAAAAGTGGCTCACAACAAATAAGCATAGCTTTGCATCTGCTTTTTATATTGGACAACCTGATAGTAACTTTTGTAGGGTTTGATGAAATATATTTCTGATTCTTTTAGTCTACTCAATACTATATTGATTAATTATTGAGATCATCATGGTTGACACTATTATTTCAGACACAGGAACACATTGACTAAACTAGATACTTCTCTGGATGAAGCCACAAGTTTTGTTGACTGACGGTATCTTGGTTGACACATGCAGGGTATTCCATTGACATAATAAAAATTGAATTTTCACCTACTTTTGGCATCAGGACTGTAGGAGTTTTCAAGTTTGTAGGAAAATGTAGAGCAATATACCTATATATCACT